CTCTCTCTGCCCCTCCCCCGTTCATGCTCTGTCTCGCTCTGTCCCAAAAATAAATAAACGTTGAAAAAAAAAAACAAAAAAAAACAAATGGTATAGAAGCCTAGAGAGGAACAAATGGGGTTAAAAAGTTCTAGGACACGTTTGTTGTTCTGGGAGACACTAATGTATCAATTGTACTTCAGTCAGTCCAAGGATGTGTGCTCCGATCTCTAGGGTTCTATCAAGAACTGGGAAGGGTTTCCGATTTTGCCCTACTTGCAAACTAACAAGTTAGCCTGACATAGTTTCATGGATGCTGGCAGAAGACACAAGATTCCTGGATCCAAGACAAAGGCCAAATTGTTACTCCCAGCAACAGCAGTAGCCAGAGTATCAGCGTGTGCGCCAGTTCCCTGGGATCCAGTTCCCACAGGGTGACATGAAGAGGGCCAGGTGACACCTGCTCACGTTGCATTAGAAGAGAGAGACCCTGAGTGTAGGGAACTTGAATCTTTTACCATTGTGAATAAGCAAATCTGTCTCAGCTTTGCCCTGGAGGATGATATGATTTTTATTCCACAAGAGAGTAAGAAGCAAATGTCCCCAATCTCTATTTTCTAAGGCTGTTCGCTGTATTAACCTCCTTGTAAAGATAACCTGAAACAGAGGAAGTCAGTGTCTCTGCTTGCGAGACACACGAGAGACCCACAGAGAACTGTCCCGCAACAGTTATCACTGAAAGAGAATGACAAAAAAAAAGAGAGAGAGAGAGAGAGTGAATGACAGAATGCATAACTTTCGGACTGACAGAGAGGGGACAAATGGAATAATAAGAAAACGATCATGAATTGCAAAACCATTACGCTAAGCGGAAAAAAAAGTCTTAAGACTATATGCTGTATGATTAGCAGGCAAAACCTTAGTGACAGAAAGCGTATCGGTGTTTGCCAGGGGCTGTGGTGGGTGCCGGGGACTTACCACAAAGGAGCACGGAGGGAATTTTGGAGACCACAGAAATGTTCTGTATCTTAACTGTGGTGATGGCACATGGGTGTGCCCTGTCACCGAAACTCACCAAATGCTACACTTCCAGTTGGTAAATTTCTCATTTTTGTAAATCGCATCTCAGTAAAGCTAACTAAAACGAAACAAAAATAAAACTGTGTAAGAAGACAAGAAAGAAAGGAATAAAGAAAACAGGTAGAACAACAAGAAAGAAAATAACAAGATGACAGATTTAGACCCAAATATATCAGAATTGTATGAAGTAGAAAGAGACTTAATGTTCCAAATAAATGTAAGGAATAACAGACAAAGATAATATGGGAAAAAAGTCAACTCTATACTCTTAACAAGATTAAAAATATAAGGAAAATGTGTGTGTATATATATATATATATATATATA